TTTTAAAAAATCGACCAAACACCTGTCTCACCATTCTCTTATGCCCCATATCTCCCGCTTAAACACGCTGTCCAATCAGGTACTTGTTTCTAGGTAACAGCAGTAGCGAATGTCAGTGTATCTAAATAGACTCCAGGCATCTCAATGGAGTTGCTATGGCACTGATTTGTGGTCCTGCTTCAGTACCATAGTGTTCCCAATAGAACATTCCAAAAAAAATAAATACAGAAAAAGAATGATTCATTCAAAAGAACATTAAAAAAAAAAAAGAATGATTGCATGCGGGGAGAAAAGGGGCGTGAAAGAAACTGTAATTGCAAGAAGCGATACGGGGCATTTTACACAGCAGCCCATAGTGCTTCAGAAACGGCAGGAAGGGTTGAAGATCAGAAGAAAGCAGTTTGAGTCAACAACACTTCAGGTACCCTTCCCGAATGGGACAGAAGCATATTTGTCTGAACAAGTAAATATATTCTGTTAGGAGCCAGTTACTAAAACAGGTCTGTCTGAAGTGAGAGAGAAAAAACTCTTAGTAACCAGTTCCTGAAATGGAATACATAGGCTGCCTGAAAAGGGCCGGAGTGTAGGAGGGCTGTGGGTTAGCTCCCCAGTTATTCAATCTGTATATTATGGATGTTACTCAGATAATTCAGGCTGAAGATGTTCATGTGCCTAGGTTGGGTACTGAAAGAATCCAAACATTACTATATGCAGATGACATGATAATTGTTTAATTAACTAAAATAGGCTTTAAAAGATCTTATTTAAGTATTGTTCTGATAACCTGTTATCTATAAATGTTGACAAAACTAAAATGATCTCTTTTGGAACTGCCACTCGCCTTTTAAACAACTGGGTGATAGGGGATCATACAATCAAACAATTGGTCATATAAGTACCTAGGAGTTATCTTTGATGATAAACAAAGCTGGAAGCAGCATATTGAAGCAATTGTGGCTAGTGCCAAAAGGGAAATTGGGGCAACTGTAAAAAAATTCTTTGTAACAGAAGCACAATATATTCCTGTGGCTCTTCATGTTTGCAACTAAGGTATTAAATCAGCTTCTATATGCGGCACCGGTGTGGATGCAATCAATTACTTATTTTATTGAATTAATGCAGTTAAAATTTTTGAGAACAATTTTTGAAGTACCTTGATGCGTACCTTCAATGGCCCTTGGATTAGAAACTGGCCTTATGTCAGTTATAAACTTGGCCTGGTTAGCAACCTTTAGATATAGAACCCGATTATTAATTAAGGATCAGAACAATTTTCTTTATAGTTTATTGATGGATCCACATATTCTGGTTTAATCCAATAGACAATAAATTAGCCATTGTCAAACTCTCAGTTCCCTTTTTTAAATCATTGGGGCCAACTAAAACAATTTTAGCAATTAACACCTGTATAAAGAATATTGATTTTCAAGAAATGCTGTCCAAAGTTTGTGGGGTGTGTTCTCTCCTTCTCTTCGATTTAGTCCTGATGTTTCTGCATTAGCACATGTGCTTCTTATCAATATTAACTGTTCCAGAATATCTCCATGTGTTTACTTTGGCAAGATTTAATGTGCTTCCTTCAACATTATTCTTTGGGAAATATCAAAATATTCCCTTCATTCGTAGGTTTTGCCCTATTCTGATAATTTGGTTGAGTCATTGGGGCATGTGTAATTACATTGTAGTTTTTCTGGAATTGGTATTGGGCAGTAATAAATTGTCCTCAGATCAGAGGAAGTCAAAATGTTATTGACGGGAATCAACCAAAGGATTATGGTCTCTGTTGCCACGTTTTTGTTTTTTGCTATGAAAATACGTGCTGAATTAGCATCCATTGTGTAAATGTTATGTTTTTAAAATTTTAATTTGTGGTTAAGGATCTGAATGAATTTTGTAACTGGAATTTTTGTGGGTTATTAGTCATTGATTATTTTATGTTTCTATGCCTTGTAGTCTGCAACAAAGACTACTACTACTACTACATATGCTAGTTTGAACTCCTTGGAGGAAGAGCAGGACAAAATATAATAGAATAAATGTACAGATTAAACCCTTTGAGTTCTATCTGGCTTACAGAATGAGTTAGGACATATGAGCTATATAATGATCAATTGTCAGACAGTTTAATTGGCAGGCAGACCATTTTTGTGAGAAAGCAAGTAGTTTCATTCTTTTTGGGAAAACAGATCTCCTTACAGATCTCTGAGCTTTCCTAGTCTGAAGCAACTTTTCTTAACAAAAGCAGGCACTCAGAAGGTAAATTTACTCACTTACTGCTACTTGCATTGTTCAGCTTCTTATGATGGAGAACGCTGATTCAAAATGTGCTCTTTTTTCCTAGGTAAAAGGTCACATTACTATTTAACAGTAAAAGCACTGATTCATTTAACAATCCTACTTGCAAATGGAAATTTGACTGACAGAGCATACATTGCATTGGGTTGCAGAGGGAAGAACCTCAGGCAACCTATTTACCGTAAATTGAGCAGGAAAGATACAAGTGAGAAATGTGTACAGGAAATGATGCAGTGATATGTCAGTGCTGGTAGAGGTGATTTCTTTGCAAATTAGGTAAGAACCCACAAGATGTGGGGAAAGAAAATCTTGGGTTTCTTGTTGTAGTCATAACATGTAACTGACAAGTGTTGTCTTGCAATAATATTAACCCTAGGCAGGGCTTTTTCCCCCTTTTTTTCGTAAAAGAGGTGCTAGAACTCTCAAGAGGGAAATTAAGTTTTCAATCTGTATACTGAGAACTCATCAACTTTTAAACATTTTAAAAAAAATTTGTTGCGGAGGTTCCAGAACTCTGTTCCAATGTGTTCCCCCATTTAAAAAACCCTGCCAGGCACTATTCAAGGCATGGTCACCTTTAAAATCCTTTCATTTTTCTGGGAGAAGGTGCTATTGGGCTGGGATTGAAAGAGCTACTTCAGACATGCCCTGAGTTTGTATTTACCCCATGAGGCATGTACTTGCCCCATGCTGTTTAATGCCCCCGCTGTGAACAGCAGACTCCTTTGCCTTATCACAAACTGCTTTCAAATGATCACCTCTGTTTCAGAAGTGGTTTGCTTTGGGGCATGGGAGGGCAGGCCTGCCCAAGGCTCCCTTGGGTGTGTGGAATGAGTTGCACAATTTTTTTTTTTGATCCTATCGTTTACATTATATAGAGCTTGTTGCTTTTATGCTTGTTTCATGTTCTCTCTTTGTGTGGCTTGGGGTAGCCTGTGTATTTATTGTAGCTCAGTCTTCCAGCAGACATAAAGAGATGATGATGGGAAAGCATTTGGATGTTTTCCTTCTGTAAGAGTAGTTCCGTGCAATAGATCTGCTGTGGTAGGCTCTGCCAGGTTTATTTCTGGAGTTTGAATGTTAAATACTTTTCTTCCAAGCTGTGGAGTGCTGGGCCTAAATGTTACAAAAAGGACTCTGAGTATGACTAGTCTAGACACTATTGGCTCCAAGTTCATATTTATACCCACAACTTGCAGGACATTTATCATATGAACAAAGCACAAAATAGTATTTATAATAGCGAAGTGGTGCCACCATGTGGATCAAAACATCCACACAACGAGGCCAGCCAAGGCTATTGATACAGGTTTCTGGAGGAAAAAAAGAGGTTAAAAAGCTCCCCAAATCCAGGGGAGGGGGAGCCAACAGAAGCTGGGGGACCTGCAGTTTGGAATGTCAGTCCAAAGGGATGATTGTGTAAACACTCAGGGCAATATTATTGGAGCATAATAGAAGTTGGGAGTGCAGGTAGGATAATAACTGAGGGCCATGTATGGTGTCTAAGAGGCTGAGGGATGTGAGGGTTACTAGAGAGAGAAACACTGATTGTGCACTGGGACACTTGGTCACAGGGCCAACCAGAAGGGGTAGTGATCTTGGACTTGGTTCTGAGCAGGTCTCAAGATCTGGTGAGGGAGGTAGAAGTTGTTATATCTATTGGGAACAGTGACCAAAAATGTGATTAAGTTTAGCATTCAGATCAATGGAAAGCTACCCCTGAAGTCCAAAACTGCAACATTTGATTTCAAAACAGGGAACTTTACAAAAATGAGGGGAGTAGTAAAAAGAAAGGTGAAGGGGAAACATGAGAGAGTCAAACCTAGAGGATGCCTGGAAGCTATTTAAAACCACATTAATTGAAGTCCAAATAGATTGCATTCCACAGGTTAGGAAAAGGACTGCCAAGTCTAAAAGAAGGCCTGTGTGATTAACAATGCAAGTCAAGGAGGCTATAAACAGTAAAAAGGCATCTTTTAGAAAGTGGAAGGTCTGCCCCAATGAATTGAACAGGAGGGACCACAGACTGCCAAAAGAAATGTAAGTCAATAATTAGGCATGCAAAAAGAGATTTTGAGGAGCAGGTTCTAAAAGCATCAAGACAAACAATAAACATTTTAAAAAATATATATCCGGAGAAGGAAATCAGCCAGAGAAGCTGTGGAGCCTTTGGATGACAAAGGAAAAAAGGGATTGCTAATGGAAGATTGCTAACGGAAGTCTGTTTCTATGCTTGTCCAAAGAGTTTGTTTTTGTCTCTTTCAAATCTTGCTCAAGTTGCTCCCTTCATACCTGCCACTTTCTGTTCTACTTTCCAAGCATTATACCTGTATAGATGCTAAAATTTTAAAAACAAATAATCTCTGGTAGATTGAAGGTAAAAGAAGAAGGGGACGGCAGAGGATGAGATGGTTAGTGTTATCGATGCAAGGAACATGAAATTAAGCAAACTCAGGAGGACAGCGGAAGACAGGAGGGCCTGGTGTGATGTGGTTCATGGGGTCACGAAGAGTCGGACTCAACTGTGTGACTGAACAACAATAGCAGCAACCCCATGGAAAGACTAGTTTTGCTTTCTATGGCACGTTCTGTTATTTAGAGGCTATTGTACCACAGTACTGTACTGTATAACAACATTGAGATGGTTTTTCCTGTTACTTGTGGGCTATATAATCACTGTTTCTTTTTTCTCAATTATGTTTTAGGAAGCTGATAACCTCTTACAATGGGAGCTGTGGTAATTGATGATGGTCCATCTGGAGTTAAAGCCCCAGATGGCGGCTGGGGATGGGCTGTTCTCTTTGGGTGCTTTGTCATCACTGGATTCTCCTACGCTTTTCCTAAGGCCATGAGTGTCTTCTTTAAGGAGCTTATCCGTGAATTTGGTATTGGATATAGTGACACAGCATGGATCTCCTCCATTCTGTTGGCTATGCTTTATGGAACAGGTAATTAACAAAAAAATACATAGTAGAGGTAAAGAGATCAAAGAACCATTTAATCCTAGAATAACTGTAGATGACTTTAGATAAAAATGAACTTAAGCAGAGATTAAATAAAAGTAGCACGTTTTTATCAAAGAGAACTTAAAATATATGGCATTTTAAGCAGACCAGTTTGTACCAGAAGCACCATTGGGAACAAAGGCCTGGGGAGTTATTTACTCACAGTTTTAAGCAAGCATATTAAAAAAACCCTCTATCCCATTAATCAAACCTATAAATCTTATGCTGTACTACCAGAAATTTTAAAGTGACTCAAATCTCTTGGAGCTGGATACACAGACATTTTGGCAAAAGCTGGCACTACCACACTTACAGTGCAGTCCTAAGCAGGGTTATGCCTTTCTAAGTCTGTTAAAATCACTAGGCTCAGAACAGTGAGACTCTGCTTATGCATGTACTAGATGCATCCCAGCGCATCAGGACCAAATGGCTTCCCTGTAGACTGGTATAAATCTTATGGTGACGCATTGATTCACATCCCTATCTATCAGGAACCATAGTGAATTAATAAGCTACCCTAACACTGTATGAAACATTAATCTTAGTTATCCATAAATCTGAAAAGGGCCACACAACATGTGCAAAGTACAGACTAATTTTCTTGTTGATTAATGAAGACTCGAAAATCTTTACCAGTCTTTGTGTGTAAGTGTTAGAAAATAATTTTCACATTGGTTCCTAAAATCAGGTAGGCTTCATTAGAAGCACTCAGGACTCAGACAACATTAAGTCCCTGATAGACTTACTTCCCTTGGCAAACCTTAAATTAGAAGCAGCAATTGTCCATTCTCTTGATGCCAAAAAGGCATTTGATAAGATACAGAGACATTTTTCAATGGCAGCTGTACTAGTAGGGATGCCAGACCCACTGGCGTTGATCAGCTGGCCGGTGGTGTTGGGGGACTTATCGCAAAAAAAAGGGAGGAACATCCAACATTTTAGCAACGTGCCTACAAGATTTCAACATGACCTGGAAGTGATGTAGGCACATTACAGCGACACTCTGGTTTTGGGGCAAAAGCTCTGTGGTAGACGCCAGGGCTCTTTTTGCATATTAGGCGACACACCCCTAATGTAGCCAATTCTCCAAGAGCTTATAGTAGCCCCTGTAAGAAGAGCTCTGTAAGCTCTTGGAGGATTGGCTACATTAGGGGTGTGTCGCCTAATATGCAAAGGAGTTCCTGCTACAAAAAGAGCCCTGTGACGCTAATTCTACCATAGAGTTTTTGCCCAAACACCAGAGTGTTGCGCTCATGTACCTTTGTCACTTTTGGGTCACATTGGAGGTCATGTGGGCATGTTGGACTCCCTGCTCCTGGTATGCCCACTCCCCATCCCCCACTGGCTGTCAGAGGAACCTGGCAATCATATATACAGGTATTTGACCTGCTGCCCTGTTGGGCTGAGTAGCTTTGATTGTTAACAGCATGGCAAGAGGCTGAGAGCTACGAAAGGAACAGGGGAGCAGCCCAGTTAGATTCAAGGCAAGGAAAAGGTAAGAAGCTGCCCAACCTGATAGCCATGGCTTCAGGGACACAAAGAGAGTTGCTGAACAGAGATGTTGCAGTAGCAGAGTCCAGGTGGCTACTGAAGAGATTGCCACTGGCTTTACAGCACTAGTGGAACTGATCCCTGTGTTATTTAAGCTAAGCCCAGTGAATGGCAGCAGTGGGGCCTTGTGCTGCCAAGTGAGTGCTGCACCTTATACTCTGGGCTTCAGCTCTTGTCTGCTATGTTCTCTGTTCTTTGGATATTAGGAGTAGCTGAGAAAGATTCAGAGGGCATTATGGCAGGTGGCAACAGAGGTACTTCTGGCTTCCAGGACTGAGCAGGGTCGATGAATGCCACTTTGTAGACATGTTGCTCAATGTCCTCTTCATGTGCTGGTGTTTCCTCCTGATCCTAGGACCGGAAAGGAGGTCCTTGAACTGATACAGGAGGTATGGTGACATTGCCTCCTCCTCAGAAGCTCTTCAGATTTAGGCTATGGGAGGTCAGGGAATGATGACAACTGCCTGAGCAGTATATTCAATGGATCCAGTTTATTTATGTTATCCTTGAACTGAGAGGAGTTACCAGCAATGCTCCCTCTAAGCTGTGGAGTCTTGTGAGCAAAAATTCTACTTTGTGAGCTACTGGCATTAAAGTTGTGAGTGAGCGACTTGGCTACTGCATAAATTAGTTTGCTCTGGAGCCATCCTTCCTGAGCTGAAACAAAAACCTGTGAGCCGGAGGCAAAAAAACTGTGAGCTAGCTCACAGTAACTCAGCTTAGAGGGAACACTGGTTACCAGTAGAATAATCTCATCCTCAATTATATTGCAAAGAGGCACTTGGTGAGGTTGTTGCATTTCACTCCTCCTGTTTAACTTGACAAAAAGAGCTTTTAAGTAGGCGGGATGCAAAACAATTAAGAGAGTCAGGGCTTTTTAGTGGGAAGAAAAGAGCAATAACATTCTGCTATCTGCAGATGGTGTGTTAACACCCCCCCCCATAAAAATCACGCCTCTGTGCCAAAACTCATCTTACTTTTACAAGAGTATTGGAATAAATTAGAATGTGTATTGGTTAATAATAATATTTCCCAAATGGACCTCTCATTGGAAACTACAGGGCTGACTTACCTCGGGATCAAAATCACACCGATATGGAATGGATAATTCTATGGTTGAAAACAGATCTAGATAGATGGAAAGCACTAACAATTTATGGGGTATAAAGTAAAGGTAAAGGTTCCCTTGCTCGAAAGCCAGTCGAATCCGACTCTAGGGTTGTGGTGCTCATCTCTATTTCAAAGCCGAAGAGCCAGCGCTGTCCGAAGACGTTTCCGTGGTCATGTGGCCGGCATGGCTAAACACCAAGGCGCACAGAACGCTGTTACCTTCCCACCAAAGTGGTACCTATTTAATCTACTTGCAATTTCTTGCTTTCGAATTGCTAGGTTGGCAGGAGCTAGAACTAGAGACGGGAGCTCACTCTGTCATGTGGTACCCGGGTCTCGAACTGCTGAACTACCGACCTTCCACAGCCTGCAGTTCAGCGTCTTAACCACTTGAGCCACCGCAGCTTTCCTTATGGGGTATAGTTAACATTTTAATAAATACAAATATGTACCCTCATCACACCTGCCTAATCAGTAGTCTTCTGCTATCAGCCTTCTGAAAGTATTCCAGCACTACCTTGTTTTTTTCTCCATAAACTCCATCTTTCAGTGACAGAAGGGAATTAAACGACATAATTTACTTAGCTATCATAAGGGCTTCTTAATAACATCAGCACTAAAATGGAAATGGCCACCTGATGAACCCACATGAACTCGTAACGAAGACTTATTTAAATCCAGAGGGAGGCTGAATGTTCCCCTGCTGCACTTACCATTGTACCTCCATAAGCAGTTTGCCCACAATCATTGTGACTAGGCAAACCTGATATACGGTACACTCCGCAGACCAAAAAATAAATAAAAATAAATTTAAAAAATCGATTTACACACATGCAAATTGTTCAGTTTGGCCTAACCCCAGATTAAAAATGGTTAACAGTGCCTTGGCCACTAGGAAATTACCAATATTAAATCAACTCATATACACCAAGGCAGAGTTTTATTCTTGCCAAATGTTCTGGGATAAATATGATCTCCCAGAGACTATACCATGGCAGTATATACAATACAAATACTTGGGGGGGCGGGGCGGGGCGGGGCTGAATTTGGAATCACACATGCATAAGCACAACTGAAGGCACAGATTTATTAGTCCATCTGCACACTTTATATAGAAACATTGTTTGAAACTATCACAGAAGATATATCTCTTGAAAGATAAACTGTAGTAGAATGATAGATAACTTACATGAGGATGTTTACATCTCCTTCACCTTGTACCTCTAAAATCCTAGTCATAAAAAGCAACCCAAACAGGAAAGATCTCATAGGTTTTTTGGGTGCTGACTTTCACAGATGTCAAGGAAAGAAAGTTCCATAACTGTGGGGGGAAATCAAGAATGCCCTTGCTCTTTGAACTTGGATCACAGACTGTGGAGTTATAAGAGGTGCTCTTGGATGGTCTTAAATTTCATGAGGGAAATAAAGATAGAATATGGCTCCTGAGATATGCAGAGCCCCAACCACTAAATAGTTTATTAGGTCAGAGCCAATACTTTGAATTGTGCTCTGGAAATAACAAGATGCCACTGGAGATGCTGGAGTACCAGTGCAAGGTGCCTTTGGCAACCCCTGATGAACTGCTTCAAGCAAGTATCAGCTGAAGTGACTGGACAGTCCTCAAGGGTGGCAGTATGTCTAGAGTCTGTTACATTTGAAGTCACAAGGGAATGCTGGCTTGCTGGCCGTCTGCGGCTAGAGAAGATACTCACCACCTTCCAACACTGAGCCAGGAAAAAGTAAATACGAACACTGCTCATGCTTTCAGGAGCAGCTGTGGATCCACAGGATTCCCCAAGACCGCAAAGCTAAGAAACCAGGAGATGTCCCAATCTCTTTCTCCAAATCACAAGACCTGCCAACCACTATTACCTCAGTCTTTTCTGAGTTCAGTCAGCTCAGTTGCAGGTAGATCCACAATATGGCCAGAGACTTTGTAAGCACTACTTGGTCAAGCATTGTCACTGCAGAGCTTGGGCCAGCTGAAAGACAGAGGCAGCATTGTAATAGTCTCTAACACCAGATCGCCACATGACCGAATCTGAGTGAAATATGGCAAGATAAGCAGAATTTAACAAATACCCATGATGGTACATAGACAAATGTATGATGGTCTCTTTTTCTGTCAGGTCCCCTGTGTAGTATGTGTGTGAATCGGTTTGGTTGCCGTCCTGTTATGCTGGTTGGAGGCCTCTTTGCTTCATTGGGGATGGTAACTGCGTCCTTCTGCAACAGCATCATCCAGGTCTATGTTACAGCTGGAGTCGTTACTGGTAAGTAGTAGTGACAGACTTTGAAAGACTTAGGTCCCTGCCACACAGGACGGCTGGAACGCGGCTAAGCAGAGCCACACCAAACTTGACACGCCGCGGCAGGATCCCACGGATCCCCTCAGCCGCAGAGCATCGCTCCCCAGCACGATCAGATGCCGGGGAGAATGCGACGGTGCGAAGGGGAGCCTGGCGAACTGCGCATGCTCACACATGCGCAGTTCGGCCAGGAGCCGGGGATGCGCCGGTGCAAGGACGCACCCGCGATCCCACGGCCGCACTTAGGGAGGTGGTTCTTTTTTGCTGCGCTGTATGGGCGGGATGGGACGGATCGGAGACGGAAGCACGACGTTCCCCAGATGTTGCTGTGGGATCATGCCCGTTTGCTCCGGCCCTGATCCGTCCTTCTCCCGGCCCAAACGGCTCGTATGAACAGTTAGTTAGCTAGGCTGCACACTGCAACACAGTATTTAGCAAGTGGACCAATGTATACTCAAGAAGAAAAGCCCTTGACATAGTCTTCTCCTTGATGTGCTTTGTGTATGCAAGGAGATTTCTAGGCAAGGCAACACTGAGCCTCCATCTGCATTATGAAGTGCTATAGCCTTCCGACAGGTCTAACATGTGCTTCAACTAGCTCCCGTGTTCCCAATGTTATTTGTGTCTCCCACTTTCCCTGAGTCCCCATCCGTGCATATAGTGATCCATGCAATTTTCCCTTGATCGAAATATAATGGCCATCAGTATCTCTTAATTGGTCAGTACAATCAAACACAGTATGTTTATTAAATATTATAGCTGTACCCCTACTTTTGATTGTCCCTGGGGAAACATAATGATCTCCTAGCCAAAAGACTTTCAATATTTTCTCATTTGCATTTTTAATATGTGTTTCTTGTAGAAATATAATGTCATATGATCCTTGCTTTAATACATTTAAAGTACTCTGCTTTTTGATAGGGTGAATAAGGCCTTTAACATTATACTTAGCTATTTTAAGATTAACCATTTAAATTAACAATAACTTTTAAAATTAACAAACCAGACAAGCTTAGCAAATGCATTGAAAAGGTCTGAAGAGGCAATAATTCCACTCCCCACCCCAACCCCCAAAATGAACTAAAAGCACACCACTGTTCCCCTTTCTACTACCAGAGAACATGACCAAAAGGTAATGGGGATAAAAGGAGAGAGAGAAGAATTCCACATCTCACGTTTCCTCCAGCCCAGCATTCTTTCAAGTTTTTAAATCCAATGTATACTACTATATGCGTAAATTACGACATCTGGCATAGTTTTGTGCATAATCCAGTTTATCTTTCAAGGACTGGTTTGCCTTTTCAAGCTCACTAACTTTACGTGCTGTAATACAGAATTAGAGTCCAGTGACACCTTTAAGACCAACAAAGGTTTATTCAAGGTATAAGCTTTCGTGTGCAAGGCACGCTTTTTCAAATACATTGGAATGGTGTGTAAGGTTCAAATGAGCTGTAGTAATCTCAAAATCAATTGTTTGATCTGCTGAGGCTTCTAAATGAATTACCCTCTCGTTTAATTGTTTTATAGCAAGGCTGATATATCAGTTTTCAGTTCTAAGATGATTTAAAAACTGTTTCAGCTCATTCTTAGTGAATCCCAGAGCCAGGAGGCAACATCAGGGGAAGGCCTTGGCCTCTATGCCCTGTTGTTGGCCCTCCAGAGGAACTGGTTGGCCATTGTGTGAGACAGGATGCTGGACTAGATGGACCATCAGTCTGATCCAGCAGGTCTCTTCTTATGTTCTTAGTAATGGAGACAGAGGCCTCTTTGTTTAATTGCGAGTGTCAGGTAGCCATCTTGGTCTTCCCTTCTTTCTCCTCTGAGGTTAGATGAATCACACTGGCTTCTACAGATTCAAAATAGCTCTTCAAATGTTTTCCTCTAGTTGCTGAAGCTTTAGATACCATATCTACTTATATAAAAGTTGCTGCTTATAATCTATTACCTGCTTGGGAGGCAAAAATTGCTGTGCCGGAGGGGAGTTGTGGATTCAGCCAGCCATCTTCCTCGATGAGATCACTTCCCCCAAGATAACAAACCTTTTGATGTAAGCTACTTTGAGTATCATTGAGTGGGAGAAAAGTAGGATATAAATATTTTAAATAAATAAAAATTAATCAGAAATGAAAAATTAGCACTTACTCTTAATAGTAGCTGTTGCACAATATCTGGCACAAATGAAACTGTGTTAAGTAAAACCTCTCTTTCACAACTGCATAGCGGGATCTGATTCTACATCTCCTACATAGGTTTCAAGAATAGGGTGCATCCCATAATGGCATGCCAATGTAACTGTATTAGTGAAAAGAACAAGGCCCTACGAATAACCACATCCTGGACATTTTTGTATCTTGGGGTCAGGGATTGGAAACCTGCAGCCTGTGCTTTGTGGAAATCTTGTCCACCCCTGCTATCGGTGCTCAGTTTTGTTTGTTTAAAATGATATTTGTTCTTTTCCAGGTTTGGGTCTTGCACTCAACTTTCAGCCTTCACTCATCATGCTAAATCGCTACTTCGACAAACGTCGCCCTTTGGCCAATGGGCTGGCTGCAGCTGGAAGCCCTGTTTTTCTTTGTGCTCTTTCACCATTGGGGCAGGTACTGCAGCATGAATATGGATGGCGAGGGGGATTTCTTATCCTGGGTGGGTTGCTTTTGAACTGCTGCGTTTGCGGAGCTCTGATGAGACCTCTGGAACCTCCTAAGAAAACAGAAGATTCCAAAGCAGTCTCTGAGAAAAAAATCAAGAAAAAACTACTGGATTTCGGTGTTTTTAAAGATCGAGGCTTCCTAATCTACACCGTGGCTGCATCCATTATGGTATTGGGCTTGTTTGTGCCCCCAGTTTTTGTGGTGAGCTATGCTAAGGATCTGAAGTATCCAGACACCAAAGCAGCTTTTCTCCTGACCGTCCTTGGATTTGTTGATATCTTTGCTCGACCGATTTGTGGAATATTGGCTGGCTTGAAATGGGTTAGGCCCCGCTGTGTCTACTTCTTTAGTTTTGCTATGCTATTTAATGGCTTCACTGATCTCATGGGATCAATGTCCTACAATTATGCTGGCCTAGTGGTCTTCTGCATTTTCTTTGGCATTTCCTATGGAATGGTTGGCGCGCTGCAGTTTGAAGTACTCATGGCTATTGTTGGTACACAGAAGTTTTCCAGTGCCATTGGCTTGGTCCTTCTGGTTGAGGCAATGGCTGTTCTGGTTGGACCACCTTCAGCAGGTAAATTTCATTTCAGTTAATCAACTCATTGCTCTTTAAGTTTTATGGGATGTTTGTGGAATAGGGGAGATATTCACTTAAACTTAGGCATCTAAGTTTTTTTTAAATTTCTCTTTAAAAGGGTAGTGTCTGTTGAACATATATTCATGCACAATAAGAGAAAATATTTGATTTAATGTGTTGCCATTTTCTTCATTACAATGATAGCAGTTTTTTAAATTACCTGTGAATTTTCTTTTCTAGGTAAAATCTTGGATGCAACCCATAAATATATGTATGTTTTTATCATTGCTGGTGTTGAAGTTGTTACCTCATCTCTCGTGCTGGCTATAGGAAATGCTTGTTGCATTAAGATAAAACCAGTGCATTCACAAGCAAAAGAAGATGTAGCAGAAAGAGAGGAGTTAAACAAACAGCCTGAAGACTCCAAAGTGGACTCTATTGAAGTGGAACAGTTTCTGAAAAAGGAACCTGAAAAAAATGGGGAAGTTGTCACTAATCCAGAAACATGTGTGTGAGTGTGATAAGGATGAATGTCATATATTTAGGAAATTCAAGTAACTTTAACACTCTTGTTTATTTTAGAATTAGAACTAGCTTAGAGCTGGGCCATCTGTTTGCCAAACTGGAGGCCAACCAGCTCATGACTTCACTCTTTGGAAGCTAACTCTCCCCCCCCTTTTTTGGAAACCCCCCCCCCACTTAAAACAGGATTGATCTTCAAGTTAAGCTGCTTGGCCATAACTACAGATGTAAACAAAACAAATGGCCTTCTAAATACACATAGAGGCCCCTGCTATGCATCACCAGAAAAACTCTCACTTGGATGAAAATGTGTTTTAACTAGAGAGGAATTATACATAAACTATCTGTTTTTATGCGTGTGGAGCACCTTAATGTATCTTCCATGTCTGTGTCTGCTTTAGGAGGAATGGCTTAGCAAGAAAAAATCTCAGGGACTTGGTAGTCTCCAGTAGGTTTTTAAAAGCATACTTTTCCAAATATTTTTAGATCTTTGGCTCAGCCCTAATCTAATTTTGATAACATGTACAATTTTCAATGACTTTTGGTTTGTCAATGTATTTTTATGAGTTTTTGTTTTACTTGTCATTTTTACTGGAAATATGATGATATATATATACCAAGAAAGGCACTGAGATTCTTCCTAGGAAACCTCATAGCTGCTGTTCCCAAATAGTGTGAAAAACAAAACGAAATTTCTGTATAACCCTAAAAGGCCCACAGAGCAAGCTGTCCTTATAAACTACCTGTTGACCTCTGGTTTTAAGTGCAGCCTCTTCCGAGAATATCCTATTTTGGACAGAGTTTTGTACAGATAATTACTTTGAATGGATGGATGCAAAGACACCCCCCCCCCCCAAATTGATGAACACTAATTTCCAGAATGAAATTAAACTGGACGAGGGGAACCACACACACCTTGTGTAGAAAGCTATTATAAAAAGGTGCAAGTTCATTTTTATAAAATAAAATATTGTAAAATAATGCTCTCCCAGTATTTAAATATAACGAGGGACTTACAGAACTGTCAGCCCTGTTACTAAATGGAATGGGTTAAAGGAAGAATTACAGGAGCCAAGAGGACTGTTTGCCTTTTACCACCCCACAGTCTTCTGAAGAAAAAAACCCACCCCACCCTGGCTTGTAATAACTGGTGAAGCAATGTTTAGATGACACAAGACAACATTTGGAAGCAAAAGTGTAGCTGACCCTGCAATGATGCATTCAGTGGTAGCAATGCCAAGAATTCACTTGGACATTCTGAAAAGGAAGAGTCCTGGGATTCATTGTTTTATATAATACAAATTAATTGTCCCTGGATGAATTTTAATCACCTTTTTCTAGAGCCAGGATTGGAAGTGGACTGGCATTTCTGCTTCTTCAAAGAGTCTTGAAAAGGAAGGCTGGTAATTCTAAGGGCTTGTTTATACAATCAGACATTTTCAGAGATGGATGTGTCACAACTGTGAGTCCAAGAGAAATTTATAGATCTTATATATGACTTCAGTCCCCAACAGGAATCATTCACAATGACCTTTGTGTTTGTAGAAGACTCTGTTCTGTATGCCAGATATATGTACTCTGCTGTGGTTCAGATGAAGGATTGCCAACATGCACCCCAAGGACAGTATCAGGTCTGCAGCCTGTTTGCTCAACGGCACCAGTGCCCCACAGGCTCAGCAGGCAGTGAAGGATGACATGAGGGCAGAAGTGTGATGGTGTCTTCTGTTCTTGTACTAAGCATATATAAGAGTTGCCAGGCTTTGTGCAGAGTGGAGATGGATACTGGTGCATTCCAGTTCTCATTGAAGCTTGTTAGAAGAGGAAGACAAGGCAATTCTGCCGTCATCCTTCCCTATATTCCAAGTTGGCAATGATGTCACATTCACATGAGCTCTAAGTGCACAAGTGGGATGTGCATGTATGTGCATGCATGTGTATTGTCCGGCCCCAGCCACACAAACAACTCCTCCACAGTCATCTTACCCACTCTTTCCACCCACCTAAATTAAATGCACTTGTTCCAAGAGCAGCTCTTAAAGACAGTAGCTTTCTCTCTAAAATTGTTGTTATATATTACTAAGGCACAAAGTGGAAAAATTTGACAGTTTAAGTGGAGATAAGTAAAAATTTACAAAAATTAACTAAATTGGTTTTTTTTATCTCTCTCCTCCATGAAAACAAACAACACTTCAGGCTGGATCATGCCTACAAATTTTAATGGTGGGTGGCTGTAGACATTCTTCTCTGCTTCATTGTCAGAATGCTATGGCTCTCCTACCTGAAAAGCACCTTCCCTGTAGGAAATATTGGGACCCCCCCCACAGACAGTTATTTGCAACCTCCGCAGATATTTATGTGCAGCGAGCATATAAACATTACATATTTTGGAAACCCAATGTCTAAGCTAGCTCCCAGGTTTATCACATGGAATATATTTGCTTCTAAGACTGTAAATTTGATGACCCTACACACAGGTTTCATGCTCTTTCTCCATTTAGTTTCTTCAGGTTACTGGTAGAGATGGAGACATTCTAAATGTTTTAGTATATTATTAATTATTATTAAAAATAACATGAAAAATTGCAAGGCTTCTCATAAGCATTTTCCAAACCATTCCAATGAATGTTAAACTGAACAAGGAGTATACTGATCATTTATTTTGATAATAATAATAATAATGTGTTTGACAGGGCATGTGGCCAAAGACAGGCATAAAACTTCATCATTGAAGTTAGGTCAAGCTTAACGTAAGAGTATGTAATGGTTTTCTGGAGGTTGGTTATTAATGTGTAAGGTACCCTGCAATACAAGAAGGAAACAGTTAAACTGAGTAGCAAAATGAGGTGCCTGCTGATGACCTAGTGTACTGATTCCAGTATGGTAGGCTGCAGAAATTGCAAATGACTGTCTATAGAGGGAGTCCCAATATTTCTTGACAATGAAGCAGAGAATATCTACAGCCCCCATTAAAATCTGTAGGCATGATCCAGCCAAAGGTGCTGTTCATTTCAGTGGGAAAGAGACGTTTAAAAACCAGTCTTGTGAGACAGGGTTTGTCAGCTGCTTTTGAGAAAAAGGTCAGCTAAGAATTCCAAAGGAGTTAAAGCTAGCGACTATCTGCTGGGTCCTCAACAAAGACAACATCTTTAGTACATTCCTTAGTGGTTGATAACTAGTGATTTAGAGAGCACTAAATGGTGGATAGCCACACTTAATTGAATGAAAGTATCTCTAAAGGCATGTGCCTGACTTTTTTAGGCATGTGCCTGAATTTGATACTTTCCTAAAAATACACTTGTTTATCTGAAAGCCCAGTGCACCTGTAGCGCAGACGTCAGGCTCTGTCCTCCTTCAGCTGAAGTCTTTTGACGAACCGCCTATACCTGTTGACTTTGTTTTAAGGCTATTCGACCACATGTGCTGCATTACACTGACTCCCATGAGTAACCAGAGAATATCAAGGCAATACATCTGCTTCTGAATGATGTGGACAGAGAAAAAAGTCACATGCGCCAAATTCGGCAAATGTTAAACTCAAAGATATCAATATAAAATTGTCTTCTCAGACCTGGGGAGTAATATGCTCTTATGATTTTATTTCCAAGATGTGCCAGAGGAAGCAAAGATATTTTTTTTAAAACTCTGCTTGCCCAACCTTCTGCATCACCACTTATCAATTTAGAAAACAAGAGAAAGGGGAACAGTTGAAGAGAGAAAGGAAGCAGGAAATGGAAATCCGGATCAATAGATAAGCTATTTATATTTTCTAAAATGGGATAGATCCTAAAAATTGCAAAATGGACTCTGCTAACAGAACAGGATGTTCTCACCTCCTCCTGCCCTCTACTGCCAAGTGTCCTCTACAGAGTATCTCCTGAGTATCTGGGGACCCTCTGAAATGGTGGAAGAAGTTGTATGGGGGGGGGCTGAAGGGAAGGGGGCAATTTTGGGGCATGGAGACCCTGCTTGCATGAGCAGAAATTCCTTCTATTGGCTTACTGGACCCTGTGTTACATTTGGAACAGCTGCGAATACCAGAAAATTATTATTCCTTTTATCTCCTTCATTCAAGGCTTCTGATATGTTATAGGAAGAGTACAAATGTAAGTAGCTTGTGGAGCAAAGGGTCTCAAAAATCTCTCCTTATATATAATTGAGTAGTGGGTGCCAAAGTTCTAAAATGCACTCCTTTAGTGTATGGACGCTTGAACTGTCAGTCAGAAGACGCTGGCTGGGTTGACTGGCTGCTTTGTGCAGTCCCGCCCAGTGTTTCAAGGTCTTTTGCATATGGAAGCTGATTGGACTTCACTGCATTCCACACCTCAAACTCACTCCCCTCCCCGCAAGGCAGTTGGAATGTCAGTTGCATATGGAACCTTCAAGGTCTTTTGCATATGGAAGCTGATTGGACTTCACTCCATTCCACACCTCATACTCCCCCCCCCGCAAGGCAGTTGGAATGTCTGGTGGTGTGTAGGTCCCAGGATCATGTTTTAAAAGCTGCCTGGGGAGACGGGGACCTCAGACAGGTTACAGTGCCATAGACTCCACCCTCCAACCCAGCTATTTGCTCCTGGGGAACTATTGTTGCCAATCTTGGCCCAGCACCCATCAAACCATTCTCTTCAAACCCTTCTGCGGTGCAGCACACTTTCCCCTAGGGTTGCCAAACTCCAGGTGGGACCTGGAGATCTCCCACTGCTACAATTGATTTCCAGATGACAGAGATCAGTTTCCCCTGGAGAAAATGGCTGCTTTGGAGGGTAGACCCTATGACATTATACCTGCTGAGTCCTTCCGCCCCCCCACCCCGCCCAATGCTGCCCACTACAGAATCCACCCCCCAAAACTCCAGGTATTTCCCTCCTTAGAGCTGGCAACCCTACATTCCCCTCAATGCCTGTTGGTAGGCAACTAAGCTTGGTCCTGTCACCTACTTTGGCCTTTGGGAGAAAACACATTGGGGCCAGTCCTGATAGGGTTGCCAACTCCAGATGGGAAATTCCTGGAGATTTGAGGGATGGAGCCTGAAGAGGGTGAGGTTTGAGGGGGGGTGGGACCTCAGACAGGTACACTGCCATAGACTCCACCCTCCAAACCAGTCAGTCCCACATAGGGAACCATTGTTGCCAATCTCCAGGTGAGGGCTGGAGAGCACTCAGAATTACAACTGCTCTGCAGAAGGGAGGGCAGAAGTCAGCTGAAGTCAAAGGGGCAGATAATGGTAGGTTGATGGTTAGCTGGGAAGGAGATGGGGTTGCCAACTACATGCTGACAAATTCCTGGGGATTTGAGGGGTGGAGCCTGGAGAGGGTGGGGTTTGCAGAGGGGTGGGACCTCAGACAGGTAGAATGCCATAGACTACACCCTCCCAACCAGCCACTTTGTCCTGGGTAACAATTGCTGCCAATCTCCAGGTGAGGGCTACAGATCACTCACAATTACAACTGCTCTTCAGGTAGCAGAGATCAGTTCCTCTGGAGAAAACAGTGGACTCTGTCATTATACCCTGCTGAGGTCACCACAGCAAATTGACACTGTTTGCCCAAAGCCAGAGCACTCCCCCAGAGCCTCTTTCTAGATCTCGTTGTATTGCTTTCACAACGGGCTTTACTGCTAGTCATAGCTATAAAAGAGGGAAGGTAGGTATCTTTATTGGGACAATTTCTGGGAGTGCATGCAGTACATGCATTTCAGCTTCGAAGTTCTTACGGGAGAAGAATAATTACATGTTTTCATTCAATAAAAAAGCATCATGACATTCTCTCTCTTACTGACTTTGCACCGCTTTTTCTGGGCCAACACTCTATGTAGGGAATTACAGTTCTCAAAAATCTATGCATAGTAAACAGGTAACAATATTTTTCCTACTCTCATAATTGCAAAGACTTTTATTTTTATATGATTACTTGCCTATTACCAAATGACAATTGATTATTCTGTACTTCATTATTCTCTCATTCCCTTACACAGATGTTATATCAGGACTATATATAGTATGTGTGAGTGCAAAATGCATGTGATACAACATGTACACAAATGAACTGCAGGAGCTTACACACACGCTCCTTGAGCCAGAGATGTGTCTGTACCCAGTTATGCACATTAAAGC